AAACAGTCCATCTGGTCCGCCCCTGACCAACGCTGGTCCGGCGGACCAGGAGATCTCCACAACTTCGCCCAGCGCTGACCGAAGACGAGCTGACCAAAGGAAAATGAAGGCCTGGTCCGGAGCTGACCAGTTCAGGTCAGCCGGACCAGGAATGTTCCGTGCCCAGCCAGTCCGACACGAAGACGAACTGACCAAACCCAAATGCAAGTACGGTCCGGAGCTGACCGCCTCAGGTCCGGCGGACCAAACATTCTCCGCAGAAGCCCAGTCAGCCGCTCGCCTGCCCCAGTCAGCCGGTGTGAGTCCCCTGAAGACCTGGTACGGAGCTGACCAGGTGTGGTCAGCCGGACCAGGATTACCTGCATCGCGGTCCGCCTTCTTCATTTACGTCCGGTCCGCCGGACCAAGGTTTGGTCTGGCTGACCGCGTGACCTGAAACACATTAAGTCCGATTTTTCGGACTTTTTGGAGCGAGCTGGATTTGGGAAAGCAAAGGAGGCGATTTTCTCTCCTCCAGAAGACCTAGGGCCGAAATCTTGAAGGAGAAAGAAGGAGTTTGCTTTGGCTTGAAGATTGAAGATTCTATTGAGCATCTCTTTCCCTTTCTCTCTCTATGTTTCCCCTAGCTATTTTGGTGTTCTTGAACATGATGTGTGAGTAGTTTCTTGTTGTGGGATGAGGGATTAGCCCTCATGTAAGGATGCTTGTATTCACCTTGGACCCAAGATTATGCTTTGTTTATGCTTTCAAATCCTTGCTTTGAATGAAATTTGTGTTCTCCAAGTTTATCTCTCTTGAATGAATGTTTAGGGAAACCTAGGATTTGTTAAATTGAGTGATGCAATTGCTTGGGTTTTGATTGCTAGAGGTTGATTGAATGGTGTTTAATGTTACCCATTGGATGAGAATTTTGTGGGTAGATTTTAGGATTGTGAATTACATGGAGACATGGGTTCTTGGTCTCTTGATGCATTCAATCAATTGGGTTGAAATTGAATCCGAAGAAATTTGATTCGGTTTAATCTAGGATTATGATAAGGGAATTTAATGCATTCGGGATTTTACTCTAGACCATGAAAATGACTAGAGTGCTCTCTTGGATAGCGGGTTTTCGGTTTGAGAGAACCGAACCCGACCTTAGTCTACTAGAGTGCTCTCTTGGATAGCGGGTTTTCGGTTTGAGAGAACCGAACCCGACCTTAGTCT